TAAAACTGCTATCTGCCCCTATCTCCATCTACCCTTTATTCCCACTCTTATCCCATATATTGAAATAATCAATAGACTACATACCATAGGAAAAATCGCCTTGAAAGAAGAGTACATTAGAGCAGTGTGACATCGAACACTGCCTGTGACTGAGCTCATGCATATTCACAGCACCACACCCTGTCAACTACAATTACTGAAGCTTTGGTCTAGCAGAGTAATACAAAGAAAATTCAGATTTGCCTTTGCAATTGCTTGAGCCTAAGAGATCTGAACAGAATCTCCCTCTATCCTCAACCAAAAAATAAAGAAAAGCAAAACGTGAAATATCCTATCTCAACTCCCAAAGGTACACAGATAAATGCCTCCCCATAAAAGGATGAGGAAACAAATATAAAAGCAGAGAACAATTCCAGAACTCAGAGCAAATGCTTTGCTTTAACACAAAGTTACTGCCAGGACAGGAGAAATCTTTTCTAAAATTTGTAACCAGTGTTTTCACTGATGTTCAAAGGAACACTGCTCAATGGAACCACTGAAAAGTACAGTGAATATTGTAAAATAGTAACTCTTCATCGAGGATACATTTAGAGGGAGAAGTTTGAAACCAATGTTAGATATAGAATAATGGAAAGTAATGTTGGAAAAGTAGATCAGTGTTTTAACCAATGACAAATTTATGGTGTTTTTCAGAGTTGCACAAAACTGCATTTTAGCTGTACACCAGAAAGATATTTGTTGCCTATACTGTTTCTCCTAACAGTAAATCTTATAGTTATATAATTCTCTCTTGTAAAAGGAAATTTTACATTCAAACCTCAATAAAATCATAACTGCTGCTATACCTGATGGTCCCTAGTGAACCACAAAATACATCACATCTCATAGTATACTTAATTTATAAAAGATTCTTAACAAGCTAGGTAGTTGGACTTAATTCAATAAGCAATAAAGAACCAATGAAAGTTTATGAGCAAGAGAATAATATGATCAGAATGGCAAGGGAGAAAATTTGCAAATGAGATTAATTTGGCTTCCTATATTTAAAAAAAGATTAATAATACTGAGAATGTTAGAAAAAAACACAAGGCAAATTTAACATTATATTTAATTTAATCAATGCTGATTATTGGGAAACTCATTTATCAAAAATAGATAACATGAATAATTAAGAAGCTATTAAAAATTTCAAAATGAAAGTGAGGAAAGCAAGAAATTCAAACTCCACAAAAAAAGTTGAATATATATGTACTCCCACATTCTTTACATTATTCTCTGGTTTGCTTTGTCTATAGCCTCATCTCAAAGGCAGCAACAGCAGAAGTTTTTAATCTGCAAGAATCTGTGAAAAGGGTAGAAGGACAGAGTAAAAAGATTAGAAACTATATAGTTTCAATTCTACAAAAATTAGCAACTCCAGAATTAGAGCAAGCACAAAAAGTTCAATTAATAAACTATTTTTGAGGCCAAGCACCTAGTCCCTGCGCTTACACAGTCAAAAATTACTGACGAAAGATACAGAGTCTAGCAAAGTGCAAAAATGGGCAAATGGGTAAGAAATACATGTTCATAAACCTTTTAAGAATATAAAATTCTGTAGGAGATCAGTCAGGGTAGTGGGAAAAATCAATAGAGAAAGACGGAAACCTTCTTGGAAGGCTGGGAGGTTTTGCAAAGCCTCGGGAGAAAATAAAAGCTGAAGGTGGCTAATTCTCTTACACTGAAGCAGAGGGCAAAGGGTAGATAACAAGGGAATATAAGGGAACTCATCTCGATAAACTGGCTTACTTATGTCTCCGGACACCAATCTTTGATCATTTGCACACAGGACCACTATCTACTCGGGGGATTGACAATGTTAATTACCCACAAATTGTGTTTGCTCCAAGTCTTTGTCATTAAATCTGTACTAAATAAATACAAACGTCCCTGGCTTATCGGGGCTGCACTCTCATTGGCAGAGCTGCACTCTCATCAGTGATGGTAACCCATGCAGTCCCCTAGCCGTGGTCTCAGGCAAAATACCTGTGTCTGTGTACTTCTTACATGTGTCGCTCGGCCAGAGTCTGCGGGACAGACTACGCATAAATCTAAGTAGATTTTTTTGGTTTTACTTTCTGCTCCTGTAAAATGGAGATATTACCCAATAGAGTTCTTGTGAAGACTCACGGAAGTTGCACATATGCATTTAGCATAGTAACTGACTCATAAATTGAATTTAAATGTTACCTCCCTTGTCTTTCCATAAACATCCTTGCGTTAGCATCAGTAACATACTCGGATACAGGACAAGAGCAATCAAAATTTTACTTGAGAGTGATCCAGATTTTTAAAACTACATCAGGTCCAAAAGCATAGATTTTGTACACTAGGTATTATTTTATGAATATAAATGAATGGTGCCACAGGATTCAGGGAAGAAGTAAATACAAGGTTTGAACTGGGTTTTAAAGACTGGGCAAGATTTGAACAAATGTCAATAGATAAAGGAAGATACTAAGTAAAAGGAGAAAACACATGAGGAAACTTACTAAAAAGCAACGTTCATTTAAGAAAATGTTATTTGAGCAAGGCTATTTTAGAAAAAGCAAAAATAGCCTGACTATAGTTTATATTAAGAAGCATCTGGGAGATAAGGTTGAAAACCAGGCTGGATGTAGACAATAAAAATAATCCGATGTCATATATAAGGCACTTTGATGTATCATGGTAGTTTTCAAATTGTTTTGGCTTTGGGACTCCTTTGTAATCTTTAAAATTATTCAGGTCACAAAGAACTTTGTCTTTTTGAATATTTCTTTATTGAGATGGAGTCTCACTCTGTCACCCAGTCCTTTATTACTATTTATTGAGATGGAGTCTCACTCTGTCACCCAGTCCTCCCCACTTCATGACCTAAACGAAGTCCAATTATCTCCCAAAGGCCTCACCTCCAAATACCATTACTTGTGGACTAGGGCTTCGACATATAAATGATGTTTGGGGGTCGGGGAGATGGTATGTAGACATTCAGCCCATATGCGTGACCTTATTTGGAAAAAGGGTCTTTGCAGATGTAATTAAGGAAAGGTTGTTAAGATGAGATCATCCTGACTATGGTGGGCCCCAAATCCAATGACTAGTGTACTTAAAAAAGGGGAGTAGGGGAAAAGACAAGCAGGGGAAAAGGTCACAAAGATGGAAGCAGAGCTTGGAGTGATGTATCTACAAACCAAAGAATGCCAAAAATTCCCAGCAGCCACCAGAAACCAGGAAGCATAGACCAGACAGTCTCAAAGCCTCCAGAAGGAACCAACTCTGCTGACACCTTGATTTCAGACTTCTAAACTCCAGTACTGTGAGAGAATTAAGACTGTTGTTTTAAGCCACTGTACACCAAAGATAAAATTCTAAGCCCCCCAACCATCTTGAATGGACCCCTCCTCTTAGCAAAGGCATTCCAAAGCTAACCTGAAAAACTAGTTCAGGCCATAATGGGAAATGAGAGCAGGACATGCCTCATTATACTCTCCCTCCTTTTGGAATTACTGATAGAATAGACTTTTTTAAGTCTGATAAGAAACATTTACAAACTATTCTCGCTGAATAGACAGGCCTCCTTTCTTTAGATAATAACTCTTTCAACCAATTGCCAATCAGAAAATCTTTACATTTACCTATGACCTGGAAGCCTCCACTTCAAATTGTCCTGCCTTTCCAGACCAAACCCATGTACATCTTACATACTGATAGATGTCTCATGTTTCCCTAAAATGTATAAAACCAAGCTATACCCCAATCACATTGAGCACATGTCATCAGGACCTCCTGAGGTTGTCACTGGTGCATCCTTAACCTTGGCAAAATAAACTTTCAAAATCAATTGAGACTTGTCTCAGATACTTTTGGTCTATACCACTGAGCTTATGGTATTTTGCTATGGGGGCCCTAGGAAATTAATTCACACTCTAATCACATTTTAAATCAATATCCACTCACTGTTTTAAAAGTTCTATTATCTATTTTCCATCAAACTATGAATTTTTCCATTAATATCTGGTCATCCACTATTTTATTTTTTACATTTCTTTTTTTTTTTTGAGATGGAGTCTCACTCTGTTGCCCAGGCTGGAGTGCAGTGGCGCGATCTCTGCTCACTGCAAGCTCTGTCTCCCGGGTTCACGCCATTCTCCTGCCTCAGCCTCCTCAGTAGCTGGGACTACAGGTGCCCACCACCATGCCTGGCTAATTTTTTTGTATTTTTAGTAGAGATGGGGTTTCACCTTATTAGCCAGGATGGTCTTGATCTCCTGACCTTGTGATCTGCCCGCCTCAGCCTCCCAAAGTGCTGGGATTACAGGCATGAGCCACCATGCCCAGCCTATTTTATTTTTTAAAAACACAATGAACTTCACCTAACTTACATATTGCTTTCAATAATAATCATCTAGTTGAAATGTAAATATTTTTTCTTACTTAGTCATAAGATTCTTGAAGACAGAAACTGTATCTTAAGTGTCTTTATTGTCATGCATTCATTCATTTCTTCTAATATGGTGCTATATACAGTGCATGATTTAATAATAATAACTTTGCATTTGATTAAATAATGAATGACCAAAAAGCTTTATTGTATGTTAAATCATTCTTATGGAATAGTTTGGAATACTAGTGCAATCATTTTAAGATCTATGTATGTCCCTCCTCTTAAAATTAAACTCTGGTCTTATTTATATCCTCATCCCCTACTGTTTTAAAAGAATAGCCTTACTGCCAATAGACTTGGAACCTAACAATATTCAAGATGCAGTAAGAATTACAGGAGTTAGAAGGGACATCAGAAAACAAAGTACCAGTAAAAACTCTTTGTAGTACAGAGATAAGATGTGGTTATAAATAAAAGTTCATTATATTATGTTTGTATCACCTATTCTAGTTACTTAAGATATAGTCATTTAAAAATTTTGCAATTACCTAAAAAAAGAATGGTATTAAACAAAAAATCTAGGTAAACAACATACCTGAGTTCGTAAAATTTCACTTTTTGACAACTGCATGTCACCAGTCAATTCTTTCACAACGATGCCTAGTGGCTCTAGACGTCTGCTGAAGTAATTTGTCATTTCAGCTGCCAAGGCTTTCATTGGAGCAACATATACAATCTATACCAAAGGAACACTAGCTTGATTAATGAGCAAAAACCACCATGTCATTTGTCTTACAGTAGCCAATACAAGTCACAATTTATTATGAAATATGATTGTAACTACTTCCAGTGAAAAATCTTAATAGTGATATATGAAAAGTCTTATTTTTGTGAGATACGTGTGTAGCTGTTTAAAGAATAGAATTTGTTTACACAGCTGCATCACTTTGAAAATTGGTTTGCTTTCAAAGCTAAATGTATTTTCATAGCTTCTTACATGGTAATAGAATTTTCATAACACAAATCAGAACTGCCTTAATAGTAATGAAGTAAGTCAAGCCGTATTACTTATCTGACTTCAAGTACAATATCTTTAAGAACTTTCAAATTTCATGTTATATATAACCGCAAATTTATTTTATTCCTTACAATTTAAAAAGCTGTTGTCTGGTTTATTTACTTACCTTAAATTCATTCTTTTTGATAACACCTTGTTGAAAATGTTGGCGAATTTCGTGCAAGACCGTAAGCATTGCAATGTTGGTTTTTCCAGCTCCTGTAGGGGCACAAATCAGCATGTTCTCATTGGTGTTGTAGGCAGTCTCAAACACTATTGACTGGATTCTATTGAGTCTCTTCATTCCTTTAAAAGCCAGCTGTCCAATCTAAAAAAAAAAGGCATCATCCATTATAAATAGTAACAATGTGAAGGACCCATACAAATCATTATGTGCAAACATTTATTTCCTTTGTTTCTTAAAAAAAGACTAACTTGTAGTTTCACAATGTGTCTTTTATTTAAACGGAGGTGTATGCAGTTGAGAATAACTGAAAAATACTGTACAATTTGAATGTACTTGAAATGGTAACTCGATAAATTTGAAAAATATGACTCTATACCTAAATTTTAGAATACAATTCTTAAGTAAAAAAGATGATAAATTAGTAATGTGAGAAAACAAAATTAAAGACAGGTATTTTTTTAGTTCATGTTCATTAACAAATTTCATCATGATGTTCTAATTTATCTAGTCTAGATTAAAGATGACTAATGAAACAGCAAACAAGATACTTCTTGAAGATACAAATCAATAGCAAATTCTATTTCATGTGTTTTTAAAAAAAACTTTAAAAAAATGCAGCTGTAATAGTAGGAACAAAAGCCACAGACTACACTTACACAGAGTTTGCACTGCAACATGTGCAGCTGTAGAATCTTTGATACTATTTTGTTTAATCCTCAAAACAATTATTTGGTGTAGGTACTCTTATTACGTCCCTTTAATCAAAAAGAAACTAAGACCCAGAGCAGTTAAATAATTTTTTCCTAAAATTTTCCTATATAAAAGTCTTATATGAAAACTAAAGGTCTGAAAGTAAACAAAACACTGGTTGAGATTATTTGCAGAAACTTGGAATGGCTATATTAATATCAGAAACAATAAATTTTGAAGCCAAGAATATTACCAGCAAAACAGAAAGTCATTTCGTAATGACAGAGGTAAATTAATCAATATGATATAACAGTCCTAAACATTTGTATAACTAATAACAGATCTTCAAAATACATGAAGTAAAAACTGAAGACATGCAAAGGGAAATAGGCAAATCCACCATTATAGTCAAAGATTTCAATATCACTCTTCAAAATCTGTAGAACAAGGAGGCATGAAAATCAGCAAGGCTACCATAGACTTGAATGGCACTATAAACCAACTTGACCTGATTGACACTTATTCATCTAACAATAGTAGAACACATGTTCTCTTCCACTGCTCTTGGAACATTTAAGTTATAATATATTCTTGGTCAAAAAACAAGTCTTAATAAATTGAAAAGGAAGACAGTCATGCAAAGCATATTCTCTGACTGCAATGGAATTAAATCAGGTACGCTTATTAGAAAGATACTTGGAAAATATCTAAGTATTTGAAACAAAATAGCATACCTCCTTAAAGAGCACACTTTCTACCACTGATGAAAGAAGAAATCAAAACAATTTGTAAGTATTCTTAACTGAAGGGAAATAAAAATTTATTACGTCAAAATTTGTAGAGACTGCTAAAATAATACTTAGGGGAAATTTTGTAGCACTAACCACTATATTTAAAAAGAAGATACCACATAATCTCACTCACATGTGGAATCTGAAAATGTTCATATCATCGAAGTAGAGAGTATAATAGTGGTTACCAGAAGCTACAGAGGATGGGGGGAAGAAAAGCATGGGAAAAGGTTGGTCAATGAGTTCAAAGTTATAGTTAGATAGGAAGATTAAGTTCTGGTGTCTTATTACATAGAGACTATAGCAAATAATAATGTATATTTCAAGATAGCTAGAAGAAAGGACTTTGAATGTTATAATCACAAAGAAATAATAAACATTTAAAGTGACAGATATGCTAATTACCCTGATTTGATCATTATGCACTATACACATGCATTAACACATCACATGGTACCTTTATTTATTATTTGTCAATTACAAATAAAACTTTTCAAAATGATCCATTAAAAAAGAAAAAAGAAAGTTTCAAAAGAATAACTTTATTTTCCAAAATAAAAAATTAGAAAAAGAAAAACAAAACCAAAGCAGAATAAAGGAAATAATTATAAAGATCAATGAAACAAAAAACAGAAAAGGATGATTCTTTGAAATTAATAAAATTGATTAACCTCTGGGCAGACTGATCAGGAAAAATAAGGGAAGATACTAATTATCAATACCAAGAATGAGAAAAGTGGCATCACTAGAGTTAATATAGGTATTAAAAGAATAGTAAGAAAATGTAATGAACAACTACATGCCAGTAAATTTGACAACTCAGATGAAATGGGCAACTTTCTTAAACAACATAAATTGCCAAAGCTCACTCAAAAACAAATACACAACCCCATATCTATTAAAGAAATTAAGAATGAGGTTAAAATTATTTACACACAAAAAAACAAAAAAACCTTGAGGGCCAGAGAGATTCTCAAATGAATTCCACCTAAAGTATAAGATGGAAATAATATCAATTCTACATGGAGTTTTAAACTATTTCAAAAAAAAATGTAAAAAAAGGAATACTCCCCAAATCATTCTATGAAGCTATCACTGCCCCAATATAAAAGCCAGATGAAATAAAATCACAGACTAATACCCCTCAAAGCATAAATATAAAATTATAAACAACATAATACATCACAGAAAAACTTCATGATCATCTTAATAAATGCACAAAAAGCTTTTTACAAAATCGAACATTCATTTATTATTATTTTTTGTCTTAATTTTAGCAAACCAGAAGTAGAGGAGAATCCCTCAACCCAACAGAGGGCATCTACAAAAATGTTACAGCCGTTCCCATCATATTAACAGGGTAAGACTGAATGCTTTCCTCTAAAACCAGGAATAGGAAGGCTGTTACACTCACGCACCAATTAACATTGTATTGGAGGTTCTATCCACTTAACATTGTACTGGAGTGCAATCAGAAAAGGGGGGGGGGGGGAAGAAATAAAGTCCTTAATATAAAAAAGGAAGAAAACAATACCTGTATTTAGAGATGACCTGATTGTCTATGTAAAAAATCAGATGGAATTTACAAAAGAGCTCCTAAAGCTAATGTGTGGATTCAGGAAGGCTGGAGAATGCAAGACTAACAACTAAAAAATTACATTTCTATATACCAGCAATGAAATACCTGAAAGCAATTTTTTTAATCAATAAAAATAGCACTCTGTTATGAATTTCTTAAGGATAAATATGAAAAGAGATGGGAAAGACCTGTATACTGAAAACTACACTATTTTGCTAAATGAAAGATACAATTCTTAAGACATCTTCTTTTTTTTTTTTTTTTTTTTTCCCCCAAACTCATCTACAGATTCAATGCAATTTCAATCAAAATCCCACCAGGCGTTCCTATGGAAATTGGCAAGCTGACTTGAAAATTCATATGGAAACACACATGACCTAGAAGGAACAAAACAAATTTGAAAAAGAACCAATGTTAGGGAGCTAAAACTACCTGATATCAAAAATTATTAAAACACTAGAGAAATCAAAACAGCATGGTATTTACATAAACATAAACAAATAGATGAAGGAACTGAATAGAAAATCCAGAAATAAATCCACACATATTTGTACAACTGATTTTTGACAAGAGCTGAAAGGCAATGTAGATGACAAAGGTCAGCATTTTCAATAAATGATGCTAGAACAAATGAGTATACACATGTTTAAAAAATGACTTGAATCCATACCTTGTGTCACATACAAAAATTAACTCAAAATGAATCACTGACTAAAAGTAAAGCCTGAGAGTATAAAACATGTAGAAGAAAAGATGAAAGAAATTCTTTGTGGATGTGAGTTATGCCAAGATTTCTTAAATAAAATAAAAATCTATAAACAAATCAGTAAATTTCACTTAAGCAAAATGGAAAACCTATTATCTTTAAGATACTGTTAAGAAAATAAAAGGGGGGAGGCGGGAGGGATTGCATTGGGAGTTATACCTGATGTAAATGACGAGTTGATGGGTGCTGACGAGTTGATGGGTGCAGCACACCAACATGGCACAAGTATACATATGTAACAAAACTGCACGTTATGCACATGTACCCTAGAACTTAAAGTATAATAATAATAAATAAATTAAAAAAAAAAGAAAATAAAAAGAGAAGCCATAGAATGGGAGAAAAATCTTTGCAATACATATATCAGATAAAGTACTTATATGTTGAATATATTAAAAACTCAACAAAACCATAAAGAAAATAAGCAATTTAATTTTAAGAGTAGATAACGATGTGAAGAATCCTTTCACCAAAGAAAATATATAGATGTCAAATAAGCACACATAAAAATGCTCAACATCATTAGTCATTAGGGAAATAAAAATTAAAATCACTATTATGCACCTATTAAAATGGCTAACATTTAAAAAATTGGCAAAATGTTTAATAATTTAAATATTTTAAATTGCAAGTATTGTTGAGCATGTAGAGAAAAAAGAATTCACACATACTGATAGTAGATAAACTAAATGTACAATCACTTTAATAAAACAATCTAGCAAGCTTTTTTTGTTTTGTTTTGTTTTTGTTTTTTGGTTTTTTTTTTTTTTTGAGACTGAGTCTCACTCTGTTGCCCAGGCTGAGTTGCAGAGGCACGATCTCGGCTCACTGCAAGCTCTGCCTACTGGGTTCACGCCATTCTCCTGCCTTAGCCTCTCGAGTAGCTGGGACTACAGGTGCCAGCCACCACGCATGGCTAATTTTTTTTTGTATTTTTAGTAGAGATGGGGTTTCACCAGGCTAGCCAGGATGGTCTAGATCTCCTGACCTCATGATCCACCCGCCTCAGCCTCCCAAAGTGCTGGGATTATAGGCGTGAGCCACCGCATCCAGCCCAATCTAGTAAGTTTTTAAAAGTTAAACAAACATACAACTAAACTAAATGTACAATCACTTTAATAAAACAATCTAGCAAGTTTTTAAAAGTTAAACCTATACCTAACATACCCCTTTGAGGGTCTACCCAAGAGAAAAAGAAGTATATGTACATACAAAAAGATGTATATGAACGTTCATAGCAGTTTTACCTGTAATAGCTTAAAACCATTCAAATGTCCATCAATGGATAAATGGATAAACAAAATGTTATATATTC